TAAAATCATCTTCTAGTTCCCCTACTCTAGTTCCTCCTGCAAAGAGACCAAACTGGAACAAATATATTTCCAGCCGCATCGTGAGCAAGATTCACTCAAATAATTTCATTTAGAAAAACGACAACAGAGCGAAAACGGTGAGCGTGAAAGTGGAGAAATCAAAAGAAAAAACGACAGAAGAAAGAAAAACCATTGCCAGTACAAGCACTTTTCAGTCGATCAGACTTCGCCGGGTATTTTTTCACGTCCGTTTGCCCGTTTCAATCCCCTGTTCGAAGCCGCTGCTCATCCATCTGCCTACCGATATTCGTCCGGGGCCATATCTCCCAGCCACTTTTCAATTTCGTCCAACGAATTTCCAGTCGCTCTTCCACATCCCTCTCTCTGCCTGCAACTAGCGCGCGTCTCTCAATCTACATGTCCAATTCTCCAGAGCATAAATCCAAGGAAGTTTTTATTATTAAACGTTCGTTTCTTTTTGTTCGGGGGTATAGCCATAGCAGTTTCGTCAAACGTTGACAACGTTGGTCAAGGAGAGAAAGGGGGTCGCAAAGCTCGATGAAACGAAATTTCCAGCCTGTGACCATTCACGAATACCTTCTGCCCCCATGGGTATACTCCGCACACGCCAGTGTCATTGGAAAATACAGGCTAATTGCGAGAATGTTTTGTTGGCCTGTCGGAACTCGAGACCATCTCCCCTTACAAGGTTTTGCATTTAGCCTTTCCGTATCGACGACACGTACAGCACGAAACTCTGCAGAACTGGCTGGGAGAACCTACTACCCCCGTCGACCGTGGCTAACTTTGCTTTAACGCGCTAATAGACGACCCTGTACACAGTGAAAGTTACTTTTCCACGCAGCCTCGGTTTTGGTTGACAACGCTAAGAGAACAGTGATTTGATCGCTATCACAATTCGCGTAGAAAAGCTTAAAATTTGACTTGTGCCTCAAAAAATGCAAAAAAAAATACTTAAAGCGACGAGTAATTAATTTCTTGAACGATCCAAATATTATTATCCCAACTCAAAAGTAATGCAACTGTTGTTTTTCCTATATTAGATGAAAATAAAAAATAACCAATTAACGCGTACTTTTATTCTTCATTATCTCCTATTAAGTATTCTATTCCAATTTTTTCAATAGCGACACGACTCCCATTGAGTGTTAAACTTAACTATTAGAAAAGCCTCTATATTGAGAAATTCTACGTAAAACAGATCGACATGAAAAAGAATGGGCTCAGGAGCAAAGTGGAAGCTGATCAAAAAAAAAAAAAAAAAGAACATAGAACAAACAAGAATTTCATTGAATCGTCGAAATATAATTCTCGCGGCATGTGTAGCAAGCTGCTGGACACGCGCGCCGATTGATTCGTTAATTAAGTCGTGGAAATACTTTTGCACGCATGCGACAGGACGTATTAATCGTCGAACGCCGGAGGTCATATATTGTTTGTGACGCTTTAGACGCGAACATTGATTGCGAGAGAGACGCCGGCGTCGGTCGGCGGTTTGCAGAGGAGAGACGCTGCTCGGGGTAGCACCGCCGTGTCCCGGGGTAGGAAAGGAAGGAGAGGGAGCGGCGATATTATTGATTTATGTCCCGTTCTACGTTATGTATTCTAGCTCCTCCACACCGGTGCCGAATGATCCGACTCAAGTGCCACAGTTCTCCTCACGCTCAGCCTTCGACTTTGAATATTTCCACATACGCTTATCTCCTTCCCCGTGAAGTACGATTTTCGCCTCAATGACACCTTTGCTTTGTTCTATAGTTATTTAAAATCTTAATTGAAAACATTTGTTCTACAAAGAAAGATATCAGAAACGTAACGTAATTGATACTTGTTGCCAGACTGAATAAAAGTAGAGTTTTTGTGGAGGAATTAGCGTTAAAAAGTGGAAGATAAAAGAAATCCCAAATGGAGTTAATTGAAAAGCTTTCTAAAGAAGAAACTATATATATAAACCTATGATATATCGGAGTAGAATGTATACGCTTATTGCAATAATTGAATTCTGAAAGTCCGATTTTTTTTAAAAATAGAAAAAAAAACAACAAAGAAACAATAAAAGAAAACAAAATTCTTTAAAAGTTATTATAATTATATTCACGAATAAAAGTGGAACTAAAACTCCAGAATTTAATCAATTCGGTATTTTATCTCGCGAGTGCATCTTTTCCAGATTTAACTCCTCATTTATATTTATGTGACGAAGCTCCTATGATCGTAACCAATTGTATCAATGGAACAAGAATAAAGAGAAACCTAACTACTAAATTAAAATATCACACCGAATAGTGAAACCTGATGTACAACCCCCGCGATTACTCGGTCAAACAGTCTATCATGATAATTCAACTTGCCAGAATCGATATAAGCAATTCGCGACAATTGTCCTGATTAGACGGCAAAGCTCCACTGTAGGGCGGCGAGGGAATCGCAAACGATCATCGTCACTACGAACGTCACGAAAGCGGCAATCACAATCCGTTGAACGAGAGAGCCGACCAACAGGGATATCAATTATCTTCGACGCGAATTACAGTTACGGGGAATACTACGCGTGTGGGAGTAACGGTGGAAGTTGTGCGTGCCGGAAGTTAAGATTGCGCTTGGCTGGGGGCATAGAGTATATGAAGATAGGGATAAGAAGGGTAGTAAACAGAGAACGAAGGGAGAAAGGCAAAGAGAGAGAGAGAGAGAGAGAGAAAGTAAAAGGAAGAGAGAGATCTGTGAACGGGAAGCGCCGAAAATTGATGCATTCCCTATGCAAAACAGCAGAAGCACGGCGCTAGTAGTAGCTGGACAGCACGCAACCGA